TATATATATATATGTATATATATATATGCATGTGTTGGTATCATCTTTAATCAAAAACAAAATAAAACCACCAAAATAAAAAAATATATATATTACGAACCAGAGAGAGAAAGAAAAACACTCAGTAAAAATACTCAAACTCATATTATAAAAAAAGTAACCTTCAAAAGATTTTTCAGACAACAATACTTTTAAAAAATTAGTTAAAAGGCTAACAAAGATTTGAATAAACTCAGGAAATATTAAGAGCTAAAGCAGCTCTTGCCAAGAAACAGAAACAGAAGATGACATATACTGTGATATATATAGATATAAAATATATATCTATATACATAGCTACTACATATTTTATGTATCTAAATTCAGTTTTCATTTACACCACAACAAATATTCAATTCTTATTAGAAATTTTAAAACATGATGTAGTCACAGGATCTCCTTTATACATGAACAAACACTTGGCCCTTAGGGAAGGCCTGGTAAAGGGCAAGTCAGTTTTAATGCCTAAAATACTAGAAAATAGTTTTAAGGCTGGTCATGTATATACACAAAGAATTGGTATATACTAGATAACTGAAAGGAGACAACTTTTTACCACATGTCTTAATAAATGTCTTAATAAATGTTCAGGGAGGGAAAAATACTTTTGGAAAAATTTTTTCCCATTATTAAAATGATGATTCACTTATTTATTCTACAACTTTCCCTTCCTCATTTCTCAAAACTTGGTGAAAGCCAACTATGTAAAGCCTAATTCTAGTCAATTCTAGAAAATTACAGATTAAAAAAAAATATTCATACCACTGGCACAGAATATAAAGAAGAGAGATTTCCTCTAGATGGGAAATAATAATCATTACAATTTCCCATTATGATCCTCTAAAATCTCTCATGTTAAAGGAGACTAAAACCACTGAAATCCAGTTACACATTATAATCAAGTTTCACAGTATAGGAGGGAAGAGACCTCAAGTCTTTTCTAAGAGCTGCTTTCATGTTCTTAAATTCTTGCGATCACGGCGGAAGTTAGCTGCTCAACTGAAAGGCTCAGGAAGCCTGCTCAGCTCTCTTCCCACAGGAGTTCTGGAGGAGTACTGCCAGGGCTCTTGCCCTGTATTAATTACCCAGGTGGCCTCGGAAGTAAGCAGCAGGGAATCCCAACACTTCCCGCGGCAGTCTCACCACAGACTTGTTAAAGATCCTAAATATTCCTAAATACAGTCTCATATACTAGATTGGCTGAAGTAGTTTCAGTTATGCCTCATATGTTTGCAGGGATTGCAAAATGGCATTGATGTCAGTAATATTAAAATGATCCTTCTTAAGTTGGTCTAAAGGTTTTAATATTTTATAGTCCACGATCATTTTGCTTACTGAGGTATGGATACACATGTATTATGGGAAAACCTGCTAATTTCGTTTCCCATACTGTGAAATGCTCAGAGGCATATGGGTTCACAGTAGATCAAACATCATTAATGCTCTGAAAGTTTTCAGAACACTGGTTACCGAGTAACTTTTTATGCAATGTATAATCCTAATTCAACACCAAAAATTGTTATATATTAATGCATTGTTGCCCCTATTTGTCTGTATTCTCAAGAACTTTTAATAAAACGACCAAATTTAAATCTTAAACTGAAAATTGTATTTCAAAAGATATTTTAAAAGTTTAATCATCGGGGCGCCTGGGTGGCTCAGTCGGTTAAGCGGCCGACTTCGTCTCAGGTCATGATCTGGCGGTCAGTGAGTTCAAGCCCCGTGTCGGGCTCTGTGCTGACAGCTCAGAGCCTCGAGCCTGTTTCAGATTCTGTGTCTCTCTCTCTCTGACCCTCCCCCGTTCATGCTCTGTCTCTCTCTGTCTCAAAAATAAATAAACGTTAAAAAAAAAAAAAAAAAGTTTAATCATCAGGGAAGTTATCATAGTCTGCCAAATCCAGTATAAGGTTTTTCAAATGGGATTCATGATTTTTTAGAAGATCACACTAAAAAAGGGCTCATGTTGATTGGTTTTAAATGGTGAAATGAGATGAAAGGATCTTTTTTTTATAAATTAAAACACAACTCTTTACCTTTGTTGGGAGGTCCTGAACTCTTCTTTTCAAAGAGTTTTTGTTTTGTTACTTTTGTCACTAAAAAAAAAAAAAAAAAAATCCCATGTTAAGAACTAACGTGGAATGCAAATAATTTCTCATCTTAGACTAACTTAATGAAAAAAAATAATTTTAAGTAATACACATAGATTTCAAGTACAAAATGCAATACCTTATTATATCTTCCTTAAATAATGAGCACCAAATTTTTAAAAAGCCTGATATTCATTTGCAAAGGCATATTCTTTCCCTTCATATTCAGCAAGAATCCCTGAAATAACATATCGTGATAAAAGATATATGGCTTCTGATTTTCTAAATAATATTTTCAATACATGTCCAGTAGTGCCATACATAAAAAAAGTCTATCAGATTTAAATATGGGAAAAACTATTAGGCTTATCTCTAAAATTGAGAATATTAGAATACATATATAAGTTTACAAATAAGGAATGGAGATGCCATTGAAAACTCATGAATTTTTCTTACTTAGCTCTTTCGTTTTCTGCATTTCTTTTTGTAAGAAGAAACATGACATACGGGAGATACCAATGAGCTTTCCAAGCTCTCTACTGCCCTCCAAAGCCTAAAAGAAAGACATCTTAAATGAGTTAAGTTCTCTACAAATACAACATTGCTGACAAGTCTAGTAAAAATACAGTTTACTGTTTCTTTCATCTGAAAAACTTGAATTCTGTGGTAGGAAGTTTAACTTTTCTTCTGGTAGGTCAACTACTGCAAGCATTAAAATGCCTGAATAAAAATAATTTATTAAAAACACTAAACATGATCCACAAATTTACTTTTAAATGTGAAAAAGCCAGATCTTACTAAAATATTATGGTTAATTAATGTTCATATAAGAAAAGAAATTCCTACATAAAAAGTAACTAGACATATTCCCTGTAAGTTCTTTCCTGGATTGGATTCTCCAATTTAGGGCTTCTTTCCTATCTTCTTTTTTCAAATGGGGTAGGAGATATATGAAAAGTTATACATCTCAAAGGAAAAAAAAAAAAAGCAAACCTGTATACTACTTAAATTTTGCATTATTTCCAGGATTTCTTCTGATGATTTTTCAACTTGAGACAGCAACACCATGAATCTATAAATGAAAAAATATACATATTTAGCAAGATCAGCATTTAAACACAGCACGTCATTTTCACAACTTTAATTCTTTTTAAGAGATCTTAGGTTCATTTTTCTAATTCTTTTCTTTAAAAAGCAGTAGAAGATGTAAATGTTCCTCCATCATTCTTTCATCCCTTTACAAACACAGTGTATGTGACCAATCACCCTGTCTTTGGGATTTTCGCTGAGCAGTGGGAGAGGATGTGAAGATGTGGTTAGTTGGCTTGCTCCCTTCTCAAAGTGAACACTAATACACCATCGAAACCTGTGAGTCAGTGTTACCCAGTAATTTTTGTAATAGGAAAATAAGTTTTACGGTTTTCATATATTTCAGTGTGAAAAAGATTACAAAGGCACTCTATTAAATTTGGAAACAAAGAAAACTTCACTTGTAATCCTATCTACTGAACCTATCTCTAGTTAGCATGCTACCATACTGGAAAAATTCTCTTAGTTTTTTTTTTTTTTTTAATTTCTATAACTTTATATCATACTTTCTGCCCTTAATATAATATTACATATTTGTTTTTGGCCACATCACCCATATGTTTATAATTTAAAGACTGCACAATATTGTACCTAGTAAACATACCAAAGATGATTTAACCATTCCCTTGTTCTTGCAGTTTTAGTGTCTTTTCCAATTTTTATATAGTCTCATAGCTGTATAAGATAATCTATATCAGTGCAGTCTAATAGAAATAAAATGTAAGCCACATATGTAATTTAAAGTTTTCTAGTAGCCACAATAAAAGAAGTAAAAAGAAATAAGTGAACTTAATTTTAATAATATATTTTATTTAACCAATATATCCAAAGTATTATCATTTCAACATGTAATCAATAAAAATTATTCATGAGATATTTTATGCTTTTTTCTTTTTTTTTCAATATATGAAGTTTATTGTCAAATTGGTTTCCATACAACACCCAGTGCTCATCCCAAAAGGTGCCCTCCTCAATACCCATCACCCACCCTCCCCTCCCTCCCATCCCCCATCAACCCTCAGTTTGTTCTCAGTTTTTAAGAGTCTCTTATGCTTTGGCTCTCTCCCACTCTAACCTCTTTTTTTTTCCTTCCCCTCCCCCATAGGTTCCTGTTAAGTTTCTCAGGATCCACATAAGAGTGAAAACATACGGTATCTGCCTTTCTCTGTATGGCTTATTTCACTTAGCATCACACTCTCCAGTTCCATCCACGTTGCTACAAAGGGCCA